TTTTTGATAGCAGTTTTCAAAAGCCTCAGCAAGGTCGACAGTACACTAACCTGACTACGGGATCTTTAACATCAATCATTCGCAATATGGTATCCCATTCAGATGAAGGTTCGTTGGACGTAACATTATGAGGAGGAATGTTGAATCTAAAAATTAAATGTCAACATCACAACCAAGAGTTTTCTACGCCTGTTGATAAACTGACTTGACAAATATTGCATTTGGTAATGCTCCAGCTATGCGGTTACTCCTCATCAAGCGTTCGAACACTTGATGATCGTGCTTCGAGTTGAATATAAATGACGTTAACAAACGTCTAGTGGCTTCTTCGATGGCAAACGCCCATTTCCGATCGCGGATCTTGATATGCATACCTAAAAACGTGTTTTAACAGTTGGTAAAACGTTCCTGCAAAGGGGACCTGCTCGGTAATAATTGGAATTCTATAACACCGTCATTCGTGGCAAGCGAAATAAAGCTAAGAATTTATGTTGGAGCAGGGGCTACGGACAATTCGTCAACCTTGTGAGACTTTTGAACTCAAACAGCAGTTAACAAATATCAAGTCAAAAAAAACTATATTAAGGATAAGTCACAGCGCTACGGTCTATTGTTCATATTGGCCGACCGGCTCAACACGTTGTACGCGTGAGTGTTGATAAGCTATGGCATGAAAGCTCTTGACACGGCGAGGACAAGCAGGGTCATGGTAATGTAAGGGAATAAAGGTCACTGCGCACGGATAGCACGACACAGGTTCGGCTCTCGTTCGAGGCCGAAGTTTTGCCTACGAATCGCAGAACTGTGAGATTTTTGGGAGGCGTACTGAGGCGAAATAACAAAATTTAACAAAACCAAGTCAAAACAGCTAATAACTGCACTCTACGCGAGCCCGCGATAACACAATACAGCTCGACGTAATCAAATATGATTCTCCCAGTTTCACTGATTGTGAAAAGCTAAAAAAAGAAATTATTTTAACAAACCTATGGGTCCTTTTGGAAGATGTTCGAACTTGTTGGCGTTTGCATTCATAACCTCTAAGATTCTCGGTATGTTCTCACCAAACCTTGAATAGCACCGTTTACACCTATTACATAAATAGAATGGAAGAAGTAAAAATGATAAAACGGATAGCAGTTCAGCTGTGGAGTTCATACACTATGATTGGATCAAACTTTGAGAAAAATCAGAAAAGGTTAACTTAAATTAGTTTTTGCTGAACTGGCTAATCGACTGCATTATTTCGATGCACCTTCTATGCAACTCATCGTAAAAAAGATCCAAAATGTGGATAAAGCAATCAAAGTAAACTATTTTTCATGAGCTTATGCTTCGGGAGTTATAAGTACTCTTCGTGAACGGTAAAAGTAAACCGGCGTAATCGTGAAAGTAACAAAGTGCCAAATATACAATATAAACTGTACAAACCTCATCATTGCATTATTGGATGTGATTTCAGTTCTATGGATTTCTTGCTCAACATCCTTGATCTTCCCCGAAATTCTGCGCACCTCACGGATCGCCTCAAAAGATCCCATAGCAAAAGAGGCATCGAATTTACAGAATGTTTCAGCAACTTCTGAGAAAACTAATGCATGACTACCTCGTCTTTGCTCGTAGAAGCTCTCTCATATGATTTTTGAAGTTCATCGCGCTCCTGCTGCGCTGTGCGGTAACGTTCGAGAACCTCGGACTCCTATAACGGGTTCAGATAAAAACCACTACCTGAGAGTAGCAGGTGAAAATTTTAAATAATCAGTAATTGGTTTCTTCAACAGGAAAGGGGAACATACGAACTTTTTCATTGATCTTATCCATTTTATTTTTTGTGACAGCTATCTCCTCTTTCCGTTTCTCACATTGCGACTCCTCCTCGAATCTCGCAATTTGTTCAGTGAGGCGATCGCGTCGCTTTTCTAATGATCTGGAAGTTGACTTGACATGATTGAAAAGGAACAATCAAAAAAGAACGAGACGCAGGGTCCATGTGAAATACAGTAAATTCTTTGTATAATTCTTGAACACCATTCAATTAGTAAAACAATTAACAGAAAATACTCACCCGCGGCTAGTTTCTAGCGCCTTCTGCTTCGAATCTTGAACACTTATGTCACTTTTGAGGTTGCTAAATGAGAAATAACGCGTACTGAACATTTTTGTTAGTGACAGCGCAAATACAGACCTTATCGTAGCCTTCAGGGAACTCATCTTTTCCCTCATGCTTCTCAAGGTGTTACCTTTTTTCTCTATTCGACTTCGTAGCACAGATGTCTGGGTAGTACAATCCTGAAAAATATCCATTGTATTATTCATTTGATTGACCCCATGGCAAAGTTTTCAAAGCATCGTATAAAAAAACAAAGGGAAAATGTTTGTCCTGGACTGCGAAGGGAAAGTTTTTCGAAGCTGAACAGTCGAAGGGAAACCATATGCCATTGCTTCAAAACTGAAAGAGGAATAAAGAGTAGAAATTGCGGTTGACCTCTCGCTTCGTCTTGCTTTCTTCAATTCCTTGTTGTATCGTATCCAGCTCCTCTTGGAACTTACACCGTTTTTTCTCAATCACTTGTATCTCCTTAAAAAATGATCAGAAACACTTAGAATAAATTATTCAAGTTCAACTTAATGTGTACACACCTCGAGAACATCCCTCAAAGGGCACCATAATAACATCCATCCGATTTCGCTTTGTTGATTTCGCATTTCCTGTATTGTACGCAGTCGCCGACGTTCCTCAACCATGGACTGGTACTCCCTTAACAACCGCTCACTCAAAACTTCTAATCAAAACTTCGAATCTCCCTCCAAAGCAACACCGCAAGAAGGTACCTTTTTTGTTTTTCAAACTCCCCTTTCATTGATTTACACATAGCTTCTATGGATGCGACAATGGCTTCACACTTCTCATAACATTCTTTTGTATGTTCAAGTTCAGTAGCATGCATGAAAATCTGAAAAAAAANAAAAAAAAGGTTCAGACTATCAATGTACAAAGAACGTTCTCAACCATAGAGAACCCTACGGAAGAAATGGATCCCATTAAATATGGAAATAGTGAGAAAGTTCAAAAAACAACAACAACAACGAACACAAAAACAAAAAACAACAACAAAAACAATGGCATCAAAATTTACGCCATCTCTTTCTATTCTTGTGTGACAAGCTAGTGTTCGCTTTTTAATAATGATGCATGAGTTAAGCGCTTAAGCTGTGAGCGCGTCCATTGGGGGCATAAATAAATAAATAACGTTTCAAGCTAACCTTGTATAACCTATCAGGCCTCATCTGCTGCAAGAAATGTCGTGATCTATCTTGACTCATCCAAAATATAGGGTTACTGAGCTGAATGCCGTACCGTATCCTGAGCTGATCCAGGTCAGCCTTCTTTTTCGAAACGATAGTTTCTGTACAATTATTTTTGCAACAACGTGACTAAAGCTTTATACAAATGCAAAACAATTAGAGCTAGGGTTGGTCGACATATACCGCCGCTTGTTACTCACCACGCTGGTTTTTTCCTGTACCAACAATACTTTTAAGAACGTATGTTGAAGCAGTTGGAGTGATTGATCGTTCAACTACCACAAAATCTCCATAATCCGGATGGCTACCCAGTCCACGATTAGTTAGAATGAGCCGGATCCTTGCTTTGCTAAATATGTGAGTTGAAAAAAGAACCGATTGCAGTCGTCTAAGAAAGCAATGTAACTGTCATAAAGATAAGAATGAGCTGAGGACCAATCAGTTAAAAGCTATGTAAATGTAAAGTGACTTAGGAACTGGCTAGCTATTAGAGAGCTTATAGTAAATCGTGAATGAACAAAAGTGTAGAAAATAACATCATGAGAAAGGAAAACATTTTATATGAAGATCGAAAACGTTTATTCCTTTAGCTCTGGTGAGCTTCACTTGCCGTCGAGAACAGCATCTAGGCCCTTGCCTAGGTACCTTCGTCCCTGCTTTCAGTGGTCATACACGTATAGAGAGAAAAATCTGGTCTTAAAATTTTTGAGAAAACAATATGTTAGAGAATTCTGCTGACAAGTATGATACTGATAGTGCTAAGAAGAATCTATAGTGACCTTGTAAAGATAGCTCTAACTGGTAACTGATAGCTTATACTCACCTTTTACCTTCTTTTATATAGGTTTTCACTGAAGATCCACGATCGTTATCGTTTCCTCGTCCACCGAGGCCTATATTCAAAGAAGCAAAAAGAGCGCTTTTGCCACCTGAAACGTGGTTATAATATGATCTCATTACCTAAATTCTGAACTATTCAAAAAAGGAGAAAACTCACTCCCATTTGGTCCTCCAATATAGAAACAATTATTATCAGCTGTGTTAAAGTCGACTTTAAGTCGACCGTGGCACATGAAATTTTCCAATTCTACACCAGCTATTCGACCCGCAACTTCAATACAACCTCAAATGAACTCACATAACGTCTAAGATAAGATAGAATAGGCCGTGCAATGTCAAGTTAATAAATGGGACTTAGCCCAATGAACAAGTACGATAATAAAAGTACTTACCCTTACTGATCTCTTGAGTAGTACTAGCTTGAGTTGTTTCGTTTATGGCGACAGATGGTCGCTTTAATTTCCTATCAATATGCGACTCCACATTCTCGTGTGGTCGCTTTCTTCGTGGGCTAAGGATATGTTGATTCTCTACATCGGCATCTACCTCCATCTCCTCTTCGACCTCCTCGGCCATCTGAGTGTTAGTTTGAATCGTATCACAAATATTGTCAAAAAGCTTCTCACGCAGACTGGTGTTCAAAGAGTGAATATTAATGAATATAGAATCAAAGAATGGTATTCAAAAGTAACGAAGAAAAACTTTCATCAAAAGAAAACAATCAAAGTCTTAGTTATGGATGGTAAAGCAGGCATAGCATGCCAGTTCTCTCTCTTGATATGCATCGCAAAATCCCGCCAAAACAGAATTAATCAAAAATTAGATCTATTAAAATAGACGTGTAAATGTTAATGACTAACCCAGGAATGTCCAAAGTCAGAGAAATTGTATCTGTGAAGATAAAGGAAATCGCAAAATTCTCTATGATAGAAAGTAAACAATACATGGTTGAGCTCCCCCAATTCAGCTTTTTCAAATTTACACCAGTTAGAAAGGATATAACCTGTATAGGGGTGTTTCGTTGGTTCTTGTTGAAATAATTAATTTTCGATTTTAGTATGCTCAGAACCTGTCTACCTATGCACCTCTATCGAAAATAATCCGTCAAGAACAATGTAAAAAAGTATTGAGATCAGATATACAGGCAATTCTCAACTTTTACAACGAAGTCTACATAAAAAACAGAAAACACGCTTCAAGCTGTAAGCGCCAAATGGAAATTTTTGAAATCGATCCACTCACTAGAGCGCCGTAAAACGAGTGGTGGTGTCCGTACAACCCCATCTCACGCTGAATCTTTCGCTAAGCTTCTAGGGTATGGGTACATTCACCCAGAACTGGATGGACGCGGCATTTCGAAGTGGAGTCGATAGGTACGATCATCTAACCATACTTATGTATTCTACATCAAGTTTGTACCCCAATGATAGGTGCCAAAGTCGTCCTAAACGCCCCGTATCTCGCCGCGCCATTTGCCGCGTTCACCCAGTTCTGGGTGAATGTTCCGTCCCCCAAGCTTCTATTTCCAGACGGCGGTGCAGTCTGCATGTATGGGTAGTCCTGGTTTTCTGGATAGCGCGAATGATTCTCCCTTATACACTTACTGGTTAGTCCGATACTTCTGCTGCATTGGTCGACTGCTTTGACTACTATTCCTTCACATATTTGTCCTGCCGCCAACGCTTCCCGAACCCTAGACGAAAATCACAGTTTTTTTTACAGTACCATTTCCTCGCTTTCGACTGTCGGGAAACTCATACACCGAACTTCGACCGTTTGTCGCAATCTCAACAAGGCAGACGACTTGAAGACCATGATTGACCCAACTGTGTGAATTTCTGAGCCACGGAACGGCCATTCCTAAGAGTAAAATGTGGAAAGTCAAGAATCCGTGGGAATTCGCTTTTTGACGCGGAATACAATAGAAGCAGGAAGATGGAAAAGGATTGCAATAATTCGCGCGCAGCGAGTTGCTGCGAATTCGTCAACGCGTCCAATTTAGGCGCCCTCTGCATACTGTAGAAGTCTAAACTCAGTACGCGGCGGGTGCAGCGCATCAGACGAGTGTAACCTGGAGGTTCGAAAAATGGTTTGGGCGTATTTATCGAGAAATGGTTTGGCGGGGGGGGGGGGGGGGGGCGTGAATCCGTTAACCCATTCCAAATGTGCTTTACGCTTTTACTCCATCCAAGATCTACGCGAGGATCGACGCTGGCTAGCATATTTAACACAGTGTAAAATGGGGAATGTTTGACGTGCGAGCTTCGCAAGCGATCCAAGATCTATACAGACTCCATACAGCTTCCCAGATATCTAATGCGATAAATAGTAAATATTTCATGATAGGTCACTCGAAGGATAGCGGTCAGACCAAGGCGTACCGAATGATGTTCTCGCGACGTAATATGTACCTCTAAAAACGGGGCAATTGCTATTTTGACCAATCCACCTTCCATCGAACTCTGGAAGAACGATTTTGAAAGGAAAAAATCCGCTGGGGTTTGTGGTGGCATGAAAGGAGGTGCATCAGCTTTGCGGGCCTGTAATGACGCTCTCGAAGCATGAATAGAATGTTAGCACGGTAAAGCTTTCACTGATGAAAAGAAATGAATCGATAGCAACTGAATGTTAAATTTTAAGCCCATCCCAGGTTTATGCAGGAGGCAATTACCTCACCGAACATTGTTCTCATACCCAGCAGAGTTGACTACCATCACCCATCCTCTTCCCACCCTTTTCTCTGCGATCTAGTGCCTAGTCGTATTGTTAGAGGAGGTGAGTGCCACACCCCACTCCTCTACGTATTCACCCTCATTTGAGCTACAAAAGGGGATCAATTCCTAAATGGTTCGAAGAAAGGATATTGCAGTCCACCTACATGGGCAACATCCGAAAACCTCCGCTGCAAGTCTATTTCTCGTACAGTTTATCCTGGACTAGAACTCCTGATCACAAAATGAAGCAACCTCGCTGCTCCACTCACTAACTAACCAGCTAATTTGCTCCGAACAACGGTCTTTGTGACGAATTCCGGCGAATATTGTAACGATCCTACTGAATAGAATAGAATTTGCTACTAATGCGTGTGTCGCAGTGCTCCTTTAAAGGCACCGTTCACGATAAAAGTTATTGAGTTTTTACCTTATTAATACTCAGCGGCCCGCATGGGTTGTAGACGGGACCCTCTCAGTCCCCCAATCTCGACGTCCAGGGCATAGTGGCAGCCCCGTTGTTGTCGTAGTTCGCGTTCCCGCCCCTCGATCGGTGTCACGTTAGACGAGTGTGGAGACAATACAGATTGCTATTATTCGTTCTAGGACCCACGCACAATCAGCTAATCGCCGAGTGATGAGGCGACGTTTTTCTCCCATTCTTTTTCCTCTGTTTTTCTTTTTGCTGCCGCGATCCCTTATTTAATTTCCTACTCCTAGAGAGTGAAAAAGTTGAGCTACTTTTGCTGCCACTAAGTTTTTAAGTTTATTTATGCTTATAAGTGAATGAATTTTTCCTTACCATTGTCTGATATTCGCACCAGGACCCACATGCGCGCAGTGAAACATACTGTTTAGCTCGTCCGGACGCCCCACCCTTCTTCATTTTTCTGTTTCATTCTCGTCCAGCCCCCTTTTTAACAGTTTTTCGAAGCCTTTTTCACTTCAAAAACACCCATGCACGCATTCTCACCTCAGTCGCACTAGTTTCGATCTTGTCTTCCATTTTTCATCATAATCTGGATTACCCAAAATTGTCGTAAACGGTGCATTTAAGTGGATGAACAGGAGTAGACGACCGTTATTGAGACTACTCAACAAGCTTTTAGTACATCTCCAACTTACGAAAATTGCACATGGCTGCGGAGGTGGTGTGGTGCAGTAGGTTCGAAATCGTCGCATCGAGGTGAAGGAGACGCGAAGGAATGTAGCAGAATGCAGCAGCGATTAAGAAATACAGCAACAAAAGAACTAACATTAGAACCATGCCAAAAATAATAATCGCGTATCGATTGAGTTCATGAGGAGCGCTGGAACTGCATGAAAGGGATGGATGGTCCGAGACTTCCGCGCGCGGCGAATCGATTGCACAAGACCGGCCCTATTGCAGGTCTCCCGCTGCAGAGGAGAACGGTCTCGGAGGCTTTTGCACTCAAAGACGAAACAAACAAGCAATAAATTATACTCCAGAAGTTGCAAGTTTTGGCAAGAGCCCTGCCATCCATTTTCGATATTCTTTCCGGTGTAAAAATTTGTATTTATTAGAAGTTACATGATCACCAAAGTCTGACAGAAGGTGGTGGGTTCGCAGGCAACGGTTTTTCGTAATCGAATTTCTTGAGAATTCGTGAAGTCCCTCCTTTTGATTGTGTAGTTGTACTTTCTTGAGTTCTGAATATACAATCACCTTCAATAATAACCAAACAATTGCGTAAGCTATGCTCCTTCTTGGAATCTTCATGAGAGAAGTAATGTTTGAAAATAAGGTTAGTTAAAGATACTGCGACTTATCTACAGTATGACAGGGACGAGAAACTCGGCTCTTCCAATTGTTGTAACTCATAAGATGATAAGCTCCCAATTCCCATGGTTTTTCATGCTATGGTGACGAAAATTCAGTGCGGGAACTCGGTTTCTACAGTAGTCTAGCCCGCATCCTGACCCGAACGCGATGCATCACGTCCACTCGGCTGCACTAACCGCACGCCCTGGGTCCTTGCCCAAAGTCCTCTCTCATTGCGTCGTATATGTGAAAATTTATGTATTCAAGTAGTGAAACATGTTGCCTGGGGAGTCTACGTCCAATTTTTACTAACCTGTCCGATGGTTTCCATTGGACGGGAGCATCAAATGGTGCTGGCGTTTGGTCAAAAGATTTCTAAAATAAAACTTTCAATGCGGTTTTCATCAGAACATGTGATCATCAGTTGAATAGGACTCTTTTCCCACACATCGAACCCCCTCAAGATGATTTACTGGGACCTGGATATTGATTACGAATGTGAATTCAATACCCACTCTCAAAGCATAGGCTGGTATCTGAGGGGCGCGACTATTTTGACTTGTGAAAACGTGTGCGTGCCGCGTTCGCCGCGCGGCCTACAGTCAATCAATACCAGTAGTTTGAATGTGAGGCCTGGTCGGGCGTCGCGGAAGTCGCCTAGTCAGCACTGCTCGAATGGTTTTATTTTCTTATCACTGTTCACTCGAATGATAGATCAAACGATATCCGGAATTCCAAC